GCCGTTAACACTCCCCCTTCTTCTCTGCACGTCTTTCTCCGCTACTCCCCTCCCCCTCTGTCTCTCTCGCAGACGAGTGAAGAGAGAACTGAGATCAGCTTGGCTGGAAGGGGCGTCTGCGTGGATGGGATGGGGACGCCGGGGGAGGGGCTGGGTCGCTGTTCCCATGCCCTGATCCGGGGTGTCCCCGAGAGCCTGGCATCCGGGGAGAGCGCGGGGGCTGGTCTTCCGGCTCTGGACCTGGCTAAAGCTCAAAGGGAGCATGGAGTACTAGGAGGTAAACTGAGGCAACGGCTAGGGCTGCAGCTGCTTGAACTGCCTCCCCCAGAGTCCCTGCCGCTGGGACCACTGCTTGGTGACACGGCCGTGATCCAAGGAGACACGGCCCTCATCACGCGGCCCTGGAGCCCCGCGCGGAGGCCTGAGGTGAGCGGCAGGGTGGGGTTGTGTTGGAGGGACAGGATTGCGCGGGTGGGGGTGGCGGTCGTGGGGAGGAGGCTGGATGTCTCGGATTGACAGGAAATAGGGAGGAGTGAGGCTGTCTCAGCCCACGCTCTCTTCTCCAAGGTTGATGGAGTCCGCAAAGCCCTGCAGGACCTGGGGCTCCGAATTGTGGAGATGGGGGACGAGAACGCGACGCTGGACGGCACCGACGTCCTCTTCACGGGTGAGACGATGGGTGGTCAGCACCCCCGGGGGGTGGCGTAGAGTTTGGGAGACCGGGCGATCTCAGATCTTGATTCCAAACTCACTCTGGCCTTCAAACCCGCGTGTCCTCCCGGATTCAGGCCGGGAGTTTTTCGTAGGTCTCTCCAAGTGGACCAATCACCGGGGAGCTGAGATCGTGGCGGACACCTTCCGGGTGAGGAGCCAGAGCAGCTTGGGGAGAGCGCGCCGCCCATGTGCTCTGGGCTCCTTATGCACCCCTAAATCCTTCTGCTCGCTCTAGGACTTCGCCGTCTCCACCGTGCCGGTCTCGGGAGCCTCTCACCTGCGCGGCCTCTGCGGCATGGGGGGACCCCGCACTGTGGTGGCTGGAAGCAGCGAAGCTGCCCAAAAAGCTGTCAGGGTGAGGCGGGGCAGGGCTGGTGGTGAGGGCGTGGCCAACGAAGTGGGCGTGACTGAGGGCAGGGGCCGCAGGGAATCCGGCTAGCTTGGGGAATTGCTCTCAGCCCTTGTCCTCACTAACATAAAGGGACACCCTAGTGAACAAGGGGTACAGAAGAAGCAAGAGTTGGGGAGGGGCTGCAAAAGTAAACGGTGGCTAAAAGCGCTTGAGACTGTGTCTGACACAGCAGGCGGTATGTACTTGCTGTCATTATCTCACAGACGTAACCCTTGTCCCAAGCCTTTACTTTGTGCTAGGTCAGGCGGCCTCCGCTGTGGAAAACTCAACACCCTCTTTCTCTCTCCAGGCAATGGCAGCGCTGACCGATCACCCCTACGCTTCTCTGACCCTCTCAGATGACGCAGCAGCTGACTGCCTCTTTCTGCGTCCTGGGTTGCCTGGTGCCACTCCTTTCCTCCTGCACCGCGGAGGTGGGGACCTGCCCAACAGCCAGGAGGTGAGGGACACGCAAACTCCACCAACCAGAGACAGAAGTCTGTCTTTCCCAGTGGAGGAAAGGAGGGAGCCTTTCTCCAGAAACCTGGGTGGGGCCACTAGGAACTGGCTAGAGGGGAGCGAGGCTCTGGTATCAAAACACCTTGGGTGTCCTCCCCGCAGGGTCTGCAGAAGCTCTCTGACGTCACCCTGGTACCCGTATCCTGCTCAGAACTGGAGAAGGCTGGTGCTGGCCTCAGCTCCCTCTGCCTGGTGCTCAGCACACGCCCCCACTGCTGAGGGCCTGGGCTTGGGGCTCCAACGGGCCAGGAATAGAGCCGTGTAGGGGGTGGATTCAGGTAATAGAAAATGGGAAGTAGGTAGCAGTGGAGACATGCCCCAGGACAAGGGAGGATTTAGTGTGAAACAAAGGATAGGAGCTACTGGGAGAGTCCTCTCTGTCAAAACCAATAAAATAAAATTGGCCTTTTAGGTGGGGTTGTGGCTGATGTCTCACTGGGACAAAGGGATGGGTGGAGTTGAAACCTCAAGTGGGGGTCAGTCCTCTTTGTGTGCTCAATGTCTCACTCCCAGCCTGATTGTGGGGCTCAGGTATGAAGAAGGACAAGAGACTGCTGTGTGGAGTGTACGTCCAGGACAGAAAAGGGGATCACATGCACGGGTGGATCACTTTCTGAATGCCGGATGATTCAGACCCTGGAAGATTGCCAGTCCACCTTCATTTGATAAACAGCAGTGTTTTCCAGGGCACACATTTATCCATGCACTGAGGCTTAACAGCGAATCAAACAGGTCAGGCAGACAGGTTATACTGGGATGGTCTTCAAGAGTCTGTTTCTACAAGAAAAATCGGGGGGGGCGGTCTAGGGCATTGATTTTTGTGCAGGAGTGGATGAGCATTAGGGATGAGGACCGGTATCACAGAAAAGGCTACATTTCAGTCAAATCCCGGGGATAAATCATTATCAAGGCAGGAAGTGAGGAAGAGGGAGAAGGAATCCAGGAGATGGAATTTATTTCCATCGGGCCAATGAGTGTTGAGAGGAAACTGTGGAGAATCTAAGGTGGGCTCTTGTACACAGGAAATAACAGATAAGCCTCTGAGCACACAAAGTGCTGCAGTACCTGTGCCCAAAGCCTGTGACCCCACAGCCCCAGGAAAGGGGCAGTGGAGGCAGGAGGACCAGAAGGGTCTGTGGGCCACACCCATGCAGCAGCGATGAGAGTACGTTCTGGTGGCGTGTGTGCTGGTGCGTGCCTGTAATCCCTGAAACCCCAAACTGCAGGTGGAGACAAGGGGATCAGGAGTTCAAAGCCAGCCTAGCGACAGAGAGCCTGCTTTTAAAGGGAAGATGGGGGTAGTTTTGTAAGTCCCTGTGTGGGAGAGAAGGACTTGGTGTCCTCTGACTCCCAGTTTCTGGCTTGGGCAACTTGGGTTGGTCATGAGACTGCAGAGGAGGGAGCAGGGAATAGCTTGGGAAATGACTAAGTCACTTTTGATATGCCTTGTGTAAAATGCCCAAGGCCAGCTGGACAGGGTGTGCTAGCTCTGAGATCTGGTTGGAGGGAAGGGGGCTGAGGGTTGGCTCCCTTCCTAGAAGAGGAGTAAGGAGGAAGAAAGAAAGAGGCAAACAGAGCAGCAGGACTTCTAGAAGGAAGATTTTAGCAACAAAGTGAACCAGGATTTAAAGAGGGGTGATCTCAGGCCAAGTCCGTGAATGTTACCGTGTGGTCTAGGGCATCACTGGCAACATTACAGACGGTAGATGAGCAGCTGCAGCCGATGAGCGAGGCAGGAAAGGAGGCGGGCGATTGTCTTAAGTTCAAAATGCTTGTTTGGAAAGGGAACAGAATATCCATTGGGAGCTAAAACTTAGGACAGCTTGGTCATCTATAGAGGACATCGGTGGTGAAGGGAAGGTGTTATGAGATGGGAGTGACTCAAAAAGCCGAGCAGCTGCAGAGACAACCCAGGTGTCCAGACTCCGAGACTGGTGCCTCTGTCCATGGTGCCTCCCCTTCAGCTGAGCTTGAGTAGCGAAGCCCCAGATTGGAGGGCTTGAGAGCAAGGGCTCCCCTTTAAACCACAACCGCATAGACAGTGGAGGGATCACCGGGAACCACCGTGGACATCCGGCGGTGCCTCCCGAGGACGGAGTGATCCAGATCAGCGTAGTGCAGGCTCTGAGGAGGATGAGGGGAGGCAGATGGTCTCGGCGATCTGATCCCTTCGTTTAGAATCAACCCCTTCCCCTCCCCGCCGTGGGCAGAAGAGACTGTAGCAAAGTCTGGGCTCCATCCTGCTTAAACCTCCAGGGTGCTGGGATTGCACAGCTGCCCCACAACAACCGAGCTAGGCTTTTTTTTGGGGGGGGGCGGGGGTTGGCCTCCTCTCTCCGGGATTCTGGCCTAAGGCCTTCCTAACCCAGGCCCTTACCGGCTCCTGGTCCAGGCGGCCTGAGCTCTTGGACTCCTGTTCTAACGGCTCAGCTTTTACGACTGGAGCTAAGTGGGAGGAAGGGTCAGAGCTGAAGGATGAAGAGAAAATGACCCAACTTTGTCTGCTCCCGGCAAGGACTCAGACTCAACAGTTCAGGGTTAGGGATCGTTCGGGTAGGAGAGAGAAAAATGGGGTGCCGTTAGTCTCACCAAATGTGGGGAGTGGTCAAGGCGGGGGCGGGGGCGGGGGCGAGTGCCTGTAAGGAAGTCAGTCCTTGGAGAGTCACCAGTCTCGTCCTACTGGTTCCTCGGCCGCAGGCGGCGCCAATCACAACTGTGCAAACTGCAGTCTCCGACCAGCAAAACAACTTAGGCTCCTCCGGAACCAGGTCCCGCCCACTCTCTGGGCTTTCGGCCCTTCTAGTTTGGTTCCTGCTGCCTGGGCTCCCTGCTCCAGCCTGTAGCCTAGCACCCAAGGGCTAACCTCTCGCCTTCAAAACACCGCCACGCCTCCACTTGTTCTTTGCTAAGGTTGGGGTTCTGCCCCACCTCTCTCCGCCCCCCATCTCCCGCCCTGACTGGTCACACCCTGTATTAAGCCAGGCTCCGCCTCCAGTGCTCACCTGCGCCGCCACCAGACTAAACCCGAGGCACCCAGAGCCAGCGCCAGCCCAAGGACCAGCAGAGCAATCAGGACCTTGGGATACCCGGAACCTGGGGAGACGCGCGAAGCGGGGAGGGATGCGGAGGTCAGGGGTATAACCACAGGGTCCTACTAGCTCTCCCGCTCTACAAGACCCCGCCCCGCATTTTGTCCAGGGTGTGTCCCCGAACCAAGTGCCCCTCTGCATCTGGGCCTCGACCTACCGTGTGCAGATCCCGAAGCCCTGCAGTCTGCCTTGTCCCCCAACACCTGAAGCACTGTGCGGCTCTCATTCTCTTGGCGTCCTTTGCAGAAAAAGGTGCCAGAGTCCCCGGCGCTCAGCACCAGCTCCAGCCGCTTGATACCAGTATCCAGGGAACGCAGGCGGCCAGAGAAGTGCGAGAACACAGCCGGGGTCCCGCTCGACGAGGCCCACAGGATCGGACGGCGCCCTTTGGACAGCCCCTGGCATGCCGGGAAACTAGGCGCCCAAGCCCAGCGGGTGGGGTCTGAGACCCCTATGCAGGAGAGATTCACCCGGTCCCCAGGGCTGCCCTCCAGAGAAACTAGGGAAGGTGGAGGAGGGAGGTGGTTAGGGCTAGTTTACCTGTGGCTGGGCATCAGAGATCCAGGCTAGCTAGATTTCTCTCTCTCTCTCTCTCTCTCTCTCTCTCTCTCTCTCACACACACACACACACACACACACACACCCTCTTTCATCTACCCTTCTACCATTCCGGATCTTATATACAGCCCCCTTCCTAGTCTGTCTCTGTCTGGCCCATCACAACTCCCCAGGGACGGCCTACCCTGGGGGTCGCCCTGGACCCTTGAGAGCAACAGAGGCAGCAACTGCAGAACCAGGGCCATGGCTGGGATGTGGTATGAGGTAGGCAGAGCCGGAGTGAATCAGCAGGGAGAGCGGAGGGAAGAGGAAAGCAGAGGGGCAGGGTGGGGGCACAGATAAGAGCCAGCGAGGCCACCAATTCCTGGATCCTTCTAGAAATCCTCATGAACCAACCAGCGGTCTTCAAATCTTTTAAAACTTTAAAATTTGTGCTTGAGTCCTTTCGCAAAGGCTCTACGCTTTTTTTTTTCTTTCAAACTAACACAACCCCCGAGTTCCACAAATTCTGAAGCTCAGCTTCCTGAGTTCAAATCCTGATTTTGCCACACAGTAGCTGGGTGATGTGAGTCAGTCACCTCTACCTGTCCCCTCATCGGGAAAATGGAGATAAAAGCTTGTGAGAACCAAATAAATGCATTGAAGATGACTAAAACAACAGATGACATACAGGAATGCTCAATGCATGACTTTATTATCCTCTACCCTTATCTAATTCCTATCTCACCTCTGGGTGCCCAGGTGCTCCTCCCCACCAAGTGCTCCTCCCCACCCAAGTGTTCCTCCCCACCCAAGTGCTCCTCCCCACCCAAGTGCTCCTCCCCACCCAAGCCCAAGCACAGGGGTGTGAGAGCATTTTTAGCTCAGGGGTGTGGTCCTGCAGGATACACAGCTTCTGCCTCGCTGGCATCTATGACATCACAGAAGCCCTCCATGGTGTTACAGACCTTTATCCTGTGGCTGGGCGTCAGT